TCAAAAATGGGCTCCCCCCCCCCCCCCCCCCCCTCCATTTTCCAGTCTTTGTCCAAAGCTAAGCTAACATGCTAGTTTCATATTTAAGGTGGGTAAGTGTATTTCCAAATACGTTAAACTAGTCCTTCAGCAGACACATATGAGATTGGTACATTTGGTAACTACAATTTCACTTCTCTATATGATGAGGGATGGGCAAAAGATGGGGAAAACATCAAGAAAATTTCACAATCTCTGGCATCTATCCACTTCCTGTTGTGCCTTGGTATCAAATCCATTAAAGATCCAGTCCAGGTGTGGATATCCTCTCCCCGTCCTCGACAGGATCGTGTCTCTGTGAGCCTCCAAAGCACAGGGCCAGGAGGAAAAGTTTCACTCCTTTGGCTTCACATTAAAATCCAAAAGGTAATTATCTCTTAAAGAGTTTATTCAAACAGCGGTAAATCCACCACATGCGTCCATTGCTCCATAGTCTTTAAAATGAACGGCTGTGGGGCTGTACTTGAATTTCCTTGGCATAAAGTCCATCCATTTGAATCAAAGGTTTGCGCAGTGCTTTGTTGTGTTGAAAAGGGCAACAGATTCATGCCCACAATCATAAAACACAGCTCAAAATGTGTGGTTTACTTGATGCCGTACAAGTAATATTAGTCACATTATGCTGTTCAGTGTGTTCAAAAGTTTAATACTCAGAGGGTGTTTTAAATCAGTCAAATCCTCAGCCAATTCAGGCCTTCCAAAACAGCACTAGAACACAGTGCAAACACACTGAATGTTTTCTCAACTGGACAAAGTCCAAAAGGTCATTTAGGCAAACTCACTTGTGTGACTGGAGTCTGCGCCAGTTCCACAGAGACAGGAACAAGAAAACCCTGACAATGTAGTCAATAGTAAATGTAAATATATATATACGCACACACACACACACACGCACACACACACATATAACAGGCAATCAGTGTCATATTCATTCAAATGCAAATGTGTAGCTAAGCTGCATGTTGATTTTGTCCCTGTCAATAAACAGACTCTGGATGTGGTGTAGCACAGTAACAACGTCCAATTTTCACTAAATTGCGTTTAAGCTGAAGTTGGAGTCACGTTGCAAAAAACGTAACATTTTCACACCTATTGCAACATAATGTGAGCATTGTCTCGAGGAGGAAGTCCCTACAGGTGTATTATGATTTTTTTTTAAATTGACTCTAGCCTACCGGGAAGAAAACAACTTAATAGGACCCTAATCAGGAGCAATAGCAACACTCAGTCACGCGTAAACACGCTGGGATTGGAGACTTTCAGTTCACTCTCTGCCCTCTAAAACCACCCAGTGATGCAGAAAGTAAGAAAAGGAGGTGGAGGTGAGGAGCAGTCTGTGTGTTAAGTTTCTCTTTCACTGGTTTTTCTCTCTCAGCGAAAGTCTATTGAGGCCCTGAGGTTTAAGAGGCAGAGAGAGGTGTAGGAGGCGACGTGAGAAAAGGTCATAACCTTGTTCACCCCCCAAACCAACTGACATTGCTTTGAGGGATCATGAGGGAGCAGTGGACACTACTAAAGGTGGGTCCAAGAGAGGACCGGGGTGGTGGGGGGTGGGGGTGTCACGGCAAAGCCCGCGTTTGCAAGTTTAAGTTGATTACATCGAAGTCAAACAAACAGACAAGTGCGAGAGGGACAGAGATATTCTGGGACTCACAGATGGACAATGACAGGACAAGCTGGCCAGCTCATCGACTGGTTAATGAGCCAAACAAGCAGTCCATTAGCCAGAGACTGTCTGAGCCATCCCAGGAAATACAGCGGACAAGTCAGGGAGGACAGGATGTCAACCAACTAAAGAAGAAGAAGTAGACAAATAAACAGCATCAATAAAATACACGATGGGTATAGCCAATCTTTTAACACAAAACCATACAACCTGACATGGACTAGCCGGGCCAAGAGCCGGCCAGCTACAGTGGGGTTCAAGAGACCACCACAAGGACAGTTTGTTTTCATCATTTATCAAAAACTAAGACAATATGTTTACTTTTGCAGAAGGTTTTCGAATGAAGAACTACTCACAACTGATACGTTTCAATTATCTTTGGGAAATGCCTGTAAGTAATTAAAATACTGGTATACAATATGCAGATAATGTTTGTCTCACCATGTATGTACTATGATTCAAATCTTAACACGTGTATGGTCCTACACAATGCTGATTACTATGATCTTTTAACCATTAACTGCTACTGGACTCTGATTAAAAGGCTGGAAAAAAGGGACCAGACCGACCTAGAGACGGCACCGTGGTATAAAGCCAACATCTTCAGGAGACCGACCGCGTCTACATCCAAGATGCAAAGCCGAAGCAAGTCCTACTCCAGATGACAAAACTACAGTTAAAAGACCAACAAACTGTAGCAGTTACCAAACCACCTCTTTAATGGCAAAACAAGTCTAATGGTTTAGCATGGGTTGAACAATACTGAAATGTCACTATTAAAGACTTGAAGAAACGCTTGTTTACAAAAGAGAAACTTCATGGTTGCAACCAAACAGCTTACAGTACAGCATATGAGGAGGTGGCTGCGTAAAAGAGTAATACAACAGGGTATAAAAATTAGAGTTAAACATGGTGATGGAAATATTCAGGTGGTGGGATGTTTTGACTTGTCTGGAGTCAGTGTATTGCACATGATTAATCATACACTGACCATGGAGTAACACCACTCTGTCTATTCTGCAGAAGCCTGTCATCATTTCTGGTTTAAAGTAGTGTGGAAGAGGGTGGATCCTCAATGGGGACATTGAAAATGTGAAATATGGGACGCCCTGTAGCTCACCTGGTAGAGCTGACTCCCTGTGTACCAAGGCTGAGTCCTTCCTGCAGCGGCCATGAGTTTGAATCCGACCTTTGGCGCTTTGCTGTGTTTCCTTCCCCCCTTTTCTCCCCCCTTTCCTGTCAATGTTCAGCTGTCTTATCCAATAAAGGCAAAAAAGGCCGAAAAGATCTATTAAAAAAAAAAAAAAAGTGAAATATAATATAACATCAAAAACACTCAAAGGGTGCTCTCAAACAGTGCTGGAATAACTTCAATCCTCAAACTCTGCTAAACATCTGATGCCGGACAGAGTGCACGCTGTAATTAAGGCAAACGGTAGAAACACCAAATTCTGACTTTCAGTGAAAACGGTACCAACAAACTTTTGCTAAAAACCAAATAATAGCATCTGAGAACTACTATTTGACCAATCATTTGTGTTAGTTTAATAAATGATGAAACGTTTTTGGCAGTAGACCTTTGACCCCACTGTATGTGCAAAACACACACACAAACACACACACACACATACACAAAAAGAGAAACTTTTAACGTAACACATAAGAGAAGGAGGGTGGTAGTTGGGGGAGGGGTGCGGATTGGCAGGGAGGAGTTATCATCCAGATCATCACGAGTCTTCGTTGCCGGAGTCGTCCTGGTTGTCATAACGCCTGGTGGACGTCCCGCCGTCCTCTGCGGCGCTGATCCCCCCGGCTTCACCTACGGACTCCATCTCGCTCTCGTCCTCCTCCTCGTCCTCCTCCTCCATGTCGTCGTCGTACAGGTCGTCATAGAGAAGGTCTGAACTGCTGTCCTGGGAGGGAACCCTGGTCTGGACGCAGTACTCCGCCAATGTGGTCGGCACCTTGACACCATCGCGCTCTGCCTCCGCCGCTGTTGACATCACCTGCTTCCTGTGAGCCACAAAAAAGAATGAAATTAAAGTCAGTGTTTATCGTTGACTGGCAACAATAGAGATTCTGTTCAGGAACAAATGCCTGTATATGGATGAAATACTCAGTAGTGTGTATTACCTAATAATCTCTGCGTATTCCTTGTCCTTGCCTTTGCTGTCCCTCCATTTGCGAAACATGACAGACGCATCCACATTGGCTGGGGAGAAGGTGTTGGGCTCATTGAGCAGAGAGATCACACTGAGCAGGATAGTCCTGAAGAGGAAGGAACAGCACAAAAACCATTGAGAGGACAAAGTTAGACACAAACAGAAAATGACGACAATCCAATATCTGGTCTTCGAAGCTGCAGTGAGCTTCATCCCGGCACAGACAGAGGTGTTGGCTCACCTACATCAATTACATGCTGCACCCAATCTGCTCAGGTTTTCAAATACAGACTCAGCACAAAACCAGTCTTGCTGACATGTTAAAGATAAATTAAAATTCTGAATGCTGCCCTGCAGTAGTGTGGTGGTCTTGTTCTTAAGATGTTACACAGAACAAAGAGATGCTAAACCAGAACTGTTAATTCATTCACACTGCCCTAAATCTGCAGTTGGAAAATTACACTTGATTTTTAATTTATGTATATCACATGACGCTTTTCTTTTTATTGGTTCTCTTTGTTCTTTTCTTATCCTATATTCCATATTCGAAAACTACTGTTTAATGTGTTGATTTGCCCTTTCTGGGCTATTGCAGAAAGAGGACCCGTCCCACTGTAGATAAAAACAGCTC